GGTGTCTAGATGGCAGTGGGCCTAGGGTCAGGAAGACCTGAGTTCAAATCCTGCCTCAGACACTGGCTGTGTGACCCTGGGAAGGTCACTTAACCTCCATTTCCTCATCTGTAAAAGGAGCTGGAGAAGGAAATGGCAAACCATTCCAGTATATTTGCCAAGAAAAAGCTCAAATGGGGTCACAAAGAGTCAGACATGACTTAAATAACAATAACAACACATCTGAAAACCCACCTGGCTACAAGACTGTAAACCCCCTTATCAACAATTATATTATCATTGTAAAAAGGAGCCCCACCAAAACTGTGGAAGGAGGCCATATCCCATCAAGTTCATTGTCCTAAAAGCTTGGGCCTGCCCCTACTCAGGTTTTGATTAAAGACATCTTTCTCCCATTATTCTATGATCCTCTACTAGGATTCCTCTTTCTTATTCAAACAAATTCTAAGTATTTTTCTTCAGTTCAAATAGTCCCCATTTCTGTTTTTACTTTCTTCTACTAGTTAAAAACAAAAAATTCCAGAGAAGAGCAAGAAAGCAAAATGGGTGTTTGATGAGGCTTTCCAAATAGCTGAGGAAAGAAGGAAAGGGAAAGAGAAATGAGATGAGGAAAGGTACACCCAGCTGAATGCAGAATTCCAGAGAATTGCAAGGAGAGATAAAAAAGTTGTCTTAAGTGAACAATGCAAGAAATAGAAGAAAACAATAGAACGGGAAAGACGAGATCTCTTCAAGAAAATTAGAAACATCAAGGGAACATTTCATGCAAAAGTGGGCATGACAAAAGACAGCAGGGATTTAATAGAAGTAGAAGAGATTTCTAGGTGGCAAGAATACACAGAAGAATTACATAAGAAAGATCTTAACATCACTGATAACCGTAGTGGTGTGGTTGCTGATCTTGAGCTAGACATCCTGGAGAAGGCAGTCAAGTGGGCCTTAGGAAGCATTGCTAACAAGGCTAGTAGAGGTGACAGAATTCCGACTGAGCTATTTAAAGTCGTAAAAGATGATGCTGTTAAAGTGCTGCACTCAATATGGCAGCAAATTTGGAAAACACAGCAATGGCCACTGGATTGGAAAAGATCAGTTTATGTTCCAATCCTAAAAAAGGGCAATGCCAAAGAATGTTGAAATTACTGAACAATTACACTCATTTCACATACCAGCTAGAATGCAGCAATATGTTAACCTAGAATTACCAGAAATGCAGGCTAGTTTTCAAAGGGTAGAGGAACTAGAGACCAAATTACCAACATTAGCTGGATTTTGGAGAAAACAAGAGAGTTCCAGAAAAACATCCATTTCTGCTTCATTGACTATGTTAAAGCCTTTCACTGGATGGATCCCAACAAAATGTGGCAAGTCCTCAAAGAGAAGGGAGTACCATTCATCTTACATTTTTATTTCACATTTTTTTACACTTACATTTATTTATTTTTTTCCTCTCCTGAGGAACCCATACATGGACCAAGAAGCAACAGTTAGAACCGAACATGGAACAGATGATTGGAAAACGAGTATGACAAGGCTGTATATTGTCACCTTATTTATTGAACTTATATTCAGAATATGTCATGTGGAATGCCAGGCTGAATGAATCAAAACACAGAATTAAAGTTTCTGGGGAAAACATCAACAATTTTGGATATGCAGACAAAATACACTCCAAAGGCAAAAAGTGAGGAAGAATTAAAAAGACTTTTAATGAGGGTGAAAGAGGAGAGTATAAAAGCTGGCTTGAAGGTTAATATCAAAAAATGAAGATCGTTTACACCCTGAAGATCTAAATTATTCTACATTAAACTCCCACTGTTTGACCTCCCTGAAAGAATTCAATAAAAGCAAAATCCTCATAGCTCCTTCCATTTTCCAAACTCTGAAAATTCCTTTATTTAATGATAATGTTCCATGTTTCTTTATTCTTTATGACCCTTAACACTGATCCTTATCCTCATGACCTTCCTTCCTCAGTTCTCTCCCAAGCCATCAGTGCTCTGCCTCCTTGTACTCTCTTCCCTTCCCTGTCTCAACCTCCTGGTGAACCAACTATCTTTTCCTCTTAAATCCAGAGCTATTTCTTCTGCTGCTGCACAAAACTGATAGAGATGTTGATGTCTCCTGTCGCTATTTTGTTTCTGTCTGTGAAGTGCAGGTAATGTTTCCTTCCTGAATTTGGATACAAATGCCAAAGTTCCTTACTGATACTGGTTCATGGCATATGGTTCCTTTCAAATTATATGGTTTACTTGTTTGTTCCTTTTTATTTTCTGAATGTCTGTTTTTTGCTTTGTCTGATAGTATGATGGCTACTTTTGATTTTTTGGATTCATTTGATGCATAGTAAATTTTTTTCTATCTCTTTAGTTTTATTTTGCAAAAGTCTTTGTTTAAAAATTTTTTTTTGGCAAGCCACAGATTGTAGGGTTTTGTTTTCTTATCCAATCTGTCACTCTTGTTTTATTGGATTGTTTAATCCATTCATATTTAAAGTTATGAGTTAGGTTTATATTTTCCTTTGTCTGTAAAATTGGTTTTTTTCCCCCAAAGTCAGGACTTTTCTCCTTCCTCTGCTGTAAACTTAGTATTATGTTCCTACAATTACTTTAGGTTTCTTTTTTTTAAAGGTGTCCCTGTTCCCACTGGCTCTCTCTCCTCTCCCTCCCTCTCCACACCAGTCTCTTCTTCCTTTTTTCTATCCTTTTCCCTTTAGGGTTTTGTGTGTTCTCTTCTTCATTTCCTCCCCCTCTTTTCCTTTCTTCCCCTTCAGCTAGTCCTGTTCATTAGTTTTTTTAATTTCATTTTTGCATCCCTTTCCCAGAAGAATTTCTCTTACTTTCTTCATTATCCGTCTTCTCATTCTGTTTACTCTGGATGCTCATTCTCTGATTCATGAGCCCTATAATCATCTGGTCTCTCTCTTTTCTCTGTATTCTTTATAGTCAAAACTCTCAAGGTTTCCATTCTAGGCTCTGCCTTCTAGGGGCTTTGCGCCACTGCCTTGTAGGGTTTATCCTTTTTTATTCCTTTTTTATTGTGCCTCACTCTTAGAACAATGACATTATTTCAGATATTAGAGAGGACCCTGCCCTATGGTAAGAGCCCTCCACCCCCAATCTATACCCATTCTTGTTGGTTCTTTTTTTTCTATGTTTGCCTGGAAATAATTTCTCTATGTTCACATTCTCCCACTACTCTAGGTACTAGTCACCTGCAGGGGGTTCCACCTTCCAGGACAAATACATTTTTCAGGCACCAAATCTCCCAGGCCTTATCCAGTAAAAGATCCTTACTTCCTTCACCCATAGGAGTATTAATCAGTGGAATCCCCTTCTACCTCCAAAGTATGGCCTCCTTCCTTTTCTCTCCTTTTCAGTTTTTTCCTTTTCCTCCTCACCTACTCCCTTGTGGGGTCTTTCTTTCTGAGACTATAGACCCTCGATTTGACCCCTGTGCATCACTCACTCCCCTTTATCCTGTTCGTTTCCTCTTCCCTTTCCCTGTATGTTATAATATGATCACACAAAAGAAGCATTACCTTTAGGCATGATGCCCCTATCCCCTTCTTCTACCAGGTTTCTGCCTTTACCTCTGACTACTCGTGTACCTTTAGAAAGAAGTTTCTTTGGACATAATTCCAGACTGCACTCCAAAATGACTCAGATCAGTTCACAGTTCCACCAACAGTGAATCAGTGTCCCAATTTTTCCATATCCCTCCAACATTTGTTACTTTCCCCTTCAATCATTTTAGCCAATCTGATAGGTATAAAATGACATCTCAATGTTATTTTAATTTACATTTCTTTAATCAAGAATGATTTAGAGCATTTTTTCATATGACTGTGGATTGTTTTGGTTTCTTCATTGGAAAACTGCCAGTTCGTATCCTTTGACCATTTATCAATTGTGGATTTTTTTCTATTATACTATGTTATGGAAATGTTTGTTTTATTTCTTAAGTTGAGAATAAAATAATAAGATTAGAAAAGAAAAAGAAAAAAAGAAAAGTTTCTTAATGGTCTTCTGTTGTCATTCTGGTGCTGTTACTGGTCTGTATTCATTCTTCCTGCAATTCTGTTGTTTGAGGTCTTCAAGAAGCAAATAACTTCTTCAGTTCTGGTTTTCTTGCTAAAAATGTTGCAATCTCTTCTTTATTATTGAATGTCTATCTTTTGTCCTGTATGTCTTGGCTGCATCCTGAGCTTCACTGCTCTTAGGAATGCACTATCCCATTCCCTCCTCTCTTTTCTAGTGGGTCTAGACTAGTCTTGCATTACTCAATTGTCTTTTAAGGCTAAATGGCACTCTAACCTCTTACAAGAAGCCTTTTCTGATTTCCATGCTTAATTAGTGTGCTCTTCAATTATCATGAATTTATCCTTCTGTTTACATGTTGTGTTCTCTCAGTGGGAGAGAAGCCCTTTGAAGAAAAGACTGTTTTTTGTTATTATTTTTTTTTGTCTTATTATGCCTAAAATAGGCTTTATGGCAGGGGTGGGGAACCTACAGCCTCCAGAGGCCACACTGGCCTTCTAGGTCCTTGGGTGTGACCCTTTGATTGAGTCCAGGTTTTACAGAACAAATCCTTTTATTAAAGGAATTTATTCTTTGAAGATTGGATTCAGTCAAAGGGATGCACTTGAGGACCTAAAGGGCCATGTGGGGCCTTGAGGCTGCAGGTTCTCTACCCTTGATCTATGGAGTAGAGTGCCTTGAGTATAGTTTTTGGTAAGACTTCCCTAGATGATGTCATGGGAATTTCTGAGGGCCAGTGGTTAAGTGATATCATTCATTCATTCCACAAATGTTTTATTGATCATTTACTCCCACAATGAGAGGAACGTGGGAAAGCAAGCTAGGGAAGAGATATGGATCAGTTTTCACATTCTTTCTGCAAGAAATATTTGAGCCTACAGGTTGAAGTTCAATACTATGGATTTCATATCTATGTTCAGATACTTTGCAAATTAGTTTGAAAATCTCATTTTTTTCTTCCAGATGTGCAGATTTCCCTCTTTCCATTGACTGGTCATCATGGAATCTAAGGACAGAGTCAGCAGGTAAGAATGGCATTTGAATCAGTAGGGCTAAGAGTTTGATCTTATTAAATATAATGGCTTTTTATGTCATCAGAATTACTGTTGAAAATCTTTTAAATGCCTCATAAAGTAAATATGCAACACCTTGTTTTGATTGGAGGTGGGGAGAGGCACTAGACCTTTGATTTGTCTGGAGTAGGAAACCACCTTTGCCAATGCAGGTCATCCTCTGTCCTGCAATTTGTCGTTTAGAGAGGGGCCTGGGGCACTGGAAGTTGAAACAGTTTACCCAGGGATGCAGTCAGTGTATGGTGGTGGCAAGACTTAAGGCCAGGTCTTCCTGGTGTGGAAGCCTGTGCTCTTGCCATAGGCAGCGGGGTGGTATAATGGATTGAGTGTTGGACTTGTAGTCAGGAGGATTTGAGTTCAATTCCTGTCTCAGACACTCTGTTGCTCCAGGCTCTCCCTCAAGCCTCCTACCTGTGCCTTCAGGTGAAGGAGGGGCCTTCTTAGTCTCTCTGAGCAGTCATTTCATTTCCATCACCGTCCATGTACCCTCTCCCACAGGCAGCTCCCTTCTCTCTCTCTCTCTCTCTCTCTCTCTCTCTCTCTCTCTCTCTCTCTCTCTCTCTCTCACACTCTCTCTCTCTCTCTCTCTCTCTCTCTCTCTCTCTCAATGTCTTTTGTGTTTTTTTTGTTTTTTGCTTTTTGGTGAGGCAGTTGGGGTTAAGTGACTTGCCCAGAGTCACACATCCTTTCACTCTCTTTACAGCTGTCTGACACACTTAGATAACTCTATTCTGGGACTTCTATGGGCAAGGATCACCTACCTGAACTCAGTCCTCAGTGATTAACACATTCTTACCCCATCATATTGTACTCATCCCAGAAATTCTGAACACCAGCCTGTGATGATTAGCACCCTATTCTCTATCCCCTACTGACTTATCTCATATTTCTATCCTCCTCAGAGGCCCATTCTAAAGGTAGCCAGCCTTTCCACTGTGCTCTCTGCAATGCCTGTTCCACAGGTAACAAACACGTTTTCATTTCAAACCATTTCGTTTCTGGTTCCCTCCACCTTCTTGTACATACTGAGACCTGGCTCTCTCCTGATAATACGGCTTCCCCGGCCACCTTTTCTGAAACTGTACTTGACTCATACCTCCTCACTCACTTGTCATTGCAGGGGAGTTGGAATACTCCATCCTCCCAAGTGACAATTCCAGGCTTTCCTTCTACCACCATCATTTAGTAACCTCTTCTTTGAGGGGTATACTAGGTATAAAGGGAAGACTAGGACCTCTGGTGTGAGGGCTGCCTCAAGTCTCTTCATTCTCTGCTCCCTACACTACAGCCTAAGTGACGGATCTAATCATGACATTCTCCTTACCAACTAAACTGCAGTGTCTCTCTGATGCCTCTAGAATTAAACATTAGCTCCTCCATTTCACTTGCAAATCCTTTACAACCTGGCCCTGACCCACCTTCCCAATTTTTATCATAGATTACTCCTCTCCTACAGTCTTCAGTCCAATCAGACTGACTCTTTTGCTGTTTCTAATCCATGATACTCTATCTTCCATCTCTAAGGCTTTGTATTGGCTGTCTCTCATGATCTTTTATGACCTTCTAGAATTCCTAGTTTCCTATAAAATTGCTCATGTGATACCTACTATTTGAAGCCTTTCCTCATTCCCTCTTCCCAATTCCTTTTGCTAGTTTCTCTCTTCCCCTGCAAAAAAATGCCTCCTTTATTTTGAATCTAACTCATATACACTTATTTTTTTTGTAAAGTCTTTACTTCAGTAGAATTTAAGTGACTTAACAATAAAGATAATTTCATTTTTGTCTTTGTATCCCATATTTCTAGAACCAATGCCTGGTTTATAGTGACTGCTTGCTGATTTATTTTATCATGAATCCCTTTTGGTTGTGTCTGTAATATCTGAGGAGCTGAGGTAACCAATATGATGTCATTTGCAAACAGGATTATCTGGGAAACTTCAATATTCATTGAAGTATTAGATTCCAATGCCTAAATACATTTGTTTTATGCCTTTCCTGATATTTTAATGATCAGATGGTTTTCTGTTGTTAAAGTAATCTTAAATAATTTTGATATATGGATGGGACACCTCTTAGTGGAAGAGACCCTTTAAAGCATTACTTTGTTGTATTAGATGAAATTTTTTATTTAATCAACAAAAAATACAGAAGAATCTTGTGTTCTATAGTTTAATTCTCTGATGGTAAAGATGTGGTTTGTTATGGAATATCAGTTGTGAAAGCCTGCATTTCTCTACTAATGTTTTAATTGGGGATGTCTTTGATGCATATGGAGATATTTGCATAAAAATTTATACACATACATTTTTACGTATGTACATACACATGCATACATATATGCATACACATACATACATACATGCGCGCGCACACACACGCATCTGGTGAGGTAGATGTATAGGTCAGCAGTTGCTTATGTTCTTTCCATTGTAATAAGGTTGGGGATTGTTTTTTCTACCTCTTTTGTATCTATTGGGAAAACTCTAGAAAGGATCATCTAGAAAGAGAAGCCGTAATTACAATCTGCCTGGCTTTGTCAGGGACAGATGATGCTAAAATAACCTCATTTCCCTTTTTGACAGAATTGTTAAGCTAGTAAGTGAGATGAATGCTTTGGATGTAATTTACCTGGGTTTTTTACAAAACTTTTGGTAAAGTGTATCTCATACTAGTCCTTTGGAAGAAATGGGAAGATGTGAACTAGACGATGATATAATCAGATGGATTCACAATTGGCCAGGTGCCCAGATTCAAAGAGTGGTTGTTAACGGTGCGTATCCGCACCTCACTTCAGCATGGCCAGAGGGCTCCAGTGGAGCGCTCTAGGGATCTGTGTTTGGAACACTGCTGTTTAACATTTTTGGCAGGAATAGCAGATTTGATGCTTATCAGATTTTTAGATGACACAGAAGGAGCAGAGGTAGCTAACACTGGTTGGATGACAGAGTCAGGATCCAAAAGAATTCTTAACAAGAATTGGTTGAATGTAATTAAAGATGAAATCCAGTATGGATAAATGTCAAATCTTGCACTTAGATACCAAAAATCTGCTCCACAGATTGCTGTTGTTTGCGCTTTGTTCTCAAAGAACATCATGACATTGGGAAGGTCGTGCCATGACATGCAAGTGAATTGGATATTAGTGAGGGAGGTCTCGGCAAAGTCATCCGCCTCACTGTCTCCTCCCAAGCCGTCTGGATCCAGTGGCAAGATTTCGGTCAGGATGACTGGAGCTGGCCCCAGATGCAGTGGGAGACCTTGGCCTTTTTAAGCTAAGGTCTTTCCAGTTCTCACTTTGACTGAGGCAACACCTATTCAGTGATTAAAGCCAGTTAAGAAATGAGCCAAGGAATGGTCCCTTTTAGTAGGGGAAGGCATGGATACACAGTCTTTGTTCTGGGGTTTTTAGAGCACTGCAATCAAAATATGAGTCAGCAGGATGATGTGGCAGCCAAAACATCTAATGTAATCTTGGGCCGCATTAGAAAGGGGAAGAGGGGCCAGGAATAGGGAGGTGATAATCCCACTGTATTCTACCCTTGTCAGAACTCATCTGGAATATTATGTTCAGTTCTGATTGATAAGCTGGAGAGTGTCTAGAAGAGGGAGACCAGATGAGGAAAGGCCTTCAGGCCATGATTCCTGAAGTTGATTGGAGGAACTTGACACATTTAGCCTGCAGAAGAGGAGATTGGAGATAGTAACTGTTTTTAAGTATTTGCAAGGCTGTCAAGGGGAAGAATTGGACTTGTTCTGTTTGGCTCCAGGGAACAGAGCAAGGTAGAAATATCAAAGATTCCAATTTAGCCTACATACTGGGAAAAGCTTCCCAACAGTTTGAGCTATCCAAATGTGGGAGTGGGCTACCTCTCAAAGTGTTACGCTGACTTTCCTTAGAGGTCTCCAAGTAGAGGTTGAATGACCACTTTAGGGGTATGTTATGATGGGGCTTCTTCTTTTTTTGGAGGGGGGAGTCTGCTGAAATCCCTTTCGGTTTAAATTCAATGATTCTAAAATGGTATGTTGTATTCAGTTATGTACCAAAAGACACAGAGATGTTTATTAGGAAGAGCTTAGCATGGTCTGCTAAAATAACCTTCTGGTATTAACCACTAAAGGAAAGACTAGAGTTTAGTAGTTTGAGTAGAAATGTCAATTCCTTCAGGGTAGGGGCTGATTGATTTTTGGTTTGGTGTCCTTAGTTCACATTCTAGTGTCTAGCACTATACATAATAGCACTGGTGCCTAATAAATACTTAGCCTTGGTCTACAGGTCTGGCCATAGGCATTGGGAATATTCTGAACTTTGAATTATGGGATGGGAATTCAGGAAAGTTTCTCCTGTTTCCCAGATGGTTGTGTGGGTAGCCAAGAAAGCTGAAGCAACTCCGTTTTGCCTTCAGTTCCTCTGTTTTGCCCCTGACCCTGTTTGTATTATACTCCCTACCCTATCTGAGACCTTCCTTACTGCTGAAACAGCAAGGGCGGCCCTGTCTATTTGGGCAGGGTTACAATGGATAGCTAACCTGAAGAAGAGCCTTTCTTGTTACTAATCCTGCACCAGGCCCCTTCCAATCAAGGGAAACCCCAGCCCTTATTGGAACCCTGCAAGCCCCCAGCAGCGTGTCTTGTTCAGTCCTTGGGTACCCCATACCCAATTCAGCTCCAGCCTTAATTGAAACCTATATAATCTTTGTCCTTTTCTTCCTTTGGCTAGTCTCTGCCTTTGTGGACTGGGGGGGGCAGTAGGGATGGGGCGAAGTGGGGGGGGAACTCCCTTGCTGGTGAACCCAATAAACCCTTGTTGGTTCCTGAATTTTTGTTTTGGGTCTGGGTTTTATATTGGATCTGGTTCTCATTTGTTTCAGCATTGGCAATTTTACCCACAGCTGAATCTCGGGCAGAATCTTCATGTTTTACAGCTTTGTGAATAGCCCTGTCATGCAAAGTGT